CTCCTTTTACATTTAAACAATACCTTATTTTATTCATATTTAAATCTATTAATTTTGCAATAGTTAAAAAATAATTACTCATTTATATAGTTATTTTTAAATTATTTAAAATTTTTTTAAAATAATGTTGCAATTCTCAAAATATATTATTAAATGTCAATGAAGATATTCTGAAGCAAAACTTCAGCTTAGATTTATACAGAATGAATATATATAAAAAAAATTTTGTGTATTGATGTTATTGAAAAAGTATTTAACTGCTAAATAATTCATGATAAAAACCAAATAACTGTAACACTTTCTTTTTCATAAATGAAAATATTCATCATACAGAAAACTTAATATTAATCTTTCTTAATATGTTATTTAAAGAAACCTAAAGATTATTCTATTATCACATATTGTTTTATAATATGTAGGATTTATGACAATGTCACAATAAATAATTGCTCATTATTTATAATTCTGTTTGTTGCCACAGCAACAATTTCAAATAATTACAATAAGAATTCCATTATCAGTTTTATTAAAATAACTGNTAACTGTAACACTTTCTTTTTCATAAATGAAAATATTCATCATACAGAAAACTTAATATTAATCTTTCTTAATATGTTATTTAAAGAAACCTAAAGATTATTCTATTATCACATATTGTTTTATAATATGTAGGATTTATATGCATAAATATAATAAGCAGAATAAAATCAAGAAGTATACATAATTTATATTTTCTCGGTAGCATAACAGATGATGATGATAGCTAAAATAAAATGTTTTATTCAAATCGAACAGTTTATTCATGCAGTTATTCATTTTTTGTTAGTGAAAACCAATATAAACAATTTTCAGACATCATTTTAATTTCAAAATTTCAAAGAATAAAGCTAACTGTAGATAACTTATATTCATCATGACAAGCAAATTCTTTTTTTCCTCTTTCATAGAAACAACAATTCAGTAAAACATAAAATTAAATTCAAATAAAGTTAAATTCAGTGGTCAACTAGCCTGATGATGTCCATTCAACAAAGTTTAAAACATTTGCTTTTTTCTAATTATTTTGCTAGATATTGGTTATATGTGTAGTGTTTATTCAAATTAACTTAAATTTGAATTTAAAATGTTTGAAATTATAAAATATCATATTGAAAGTAATTTTTTATAGATCATCAGTTTATTAGTTTAAAACTAATAAAATCAGTTTTTAATAATACAGTGGGTGATCAGTTAATGAACATAATGTGTTCCAAGACTTTGTTCGCTATCTGAATTGTTCTTTAACCGATTATCAATTTACCATAGGTTTTTATGGGAATTTGATTAATTCATTCTGGAGACCCCAAAAAATAAAAAATATATACTTTCTTACTACGTTTATTTATATGTAATAATAAAAATACATATATATGCAATCTTGCATTTTTATTAGTTATGTTTTTTTGTTTGTGGGAGTTAAAGAATCTGTCTAATGTCGATTGCTTTNGTCGGATAATTGAAAAGTCGGATAACCGAAAAGTATGAAAAAATCCATTATTAGTGTAGTATATTATTATATCCCATGTAATTAGTATATTAGTATATCGCTATTAACCTATTTTGCATTGAATTTTCATCGATGTTAAGCCTAACAATTTTTTTAAATAATAATCGTCGCTATTGTAGCGCCACATCACTAGCGGACATTTGAAATTTGCCGACTAGGACAGTCGGTTAACCGAGGGATCGGTTGATCGGGGGGCGGATAATCGAGGTTCTACTGTATAAGAATTCCATTATCAGTTTTATTAAAATAACTGTGCTATTGCTTAAACAATAAACGAAATAGATAATCGAAAAGCAATTGTTGACAAATGGCTAAAAAATCCAGAACAACCAAGCCATTTCATATCAAAAAGAGCTACAAATTTCCTGAAATGCTGTGGATGGAGTGTTAAATCAGTATCGTAAGACATTGTCAATTTCTTGAATGTCAGATTCTGCTGGAAAACATGACGCTCACAGCTCACAACTCTACTAGAAGATAATCAAAGTCATTTCCAAAAATTGCAGTATATCAGTAAAAAATGTTACAAAAAATGTGAAAATAATCAAACAAAGGACTAAGCAATGTGCAACTATGAGATCATGTAAAAAACAAATACACCTAAAGTGACTGAAAACAAAAGATAACTGAAACGAGAGCTCAAAAACTATATTCTTTAATTAGCAAGAAGAATGTTGTTTGGTTTTAAATGATAAAACATATATTCTGGCTAACTTTTCAGCACTTTCAGTTCCTGGAAGTGTTTAGAAATCATCCTTTTAGAATCCTAAAACTGAATCTTTCTTTAGTTTAATAATATAATTCCGGAATTCAGAATCCTAGAATTAAAGTAATAAAAGTTCTTCCAGAATCTCAATCATCAATTGGTGTTGAAAGTTTGACTCAAAATATCTGGTATAGCAAGCAATTTTCCAATGTGGATTGAAAAGTTTGTCATTTGTGACAAAAAAATATTAGTGCTGAAATTTATATTAATGAATGTTTAAAAAATGTCTTCTTCCTTTTTTAAGAAATCATAGTGATCATATGTTCTTTTGGCCTGTTTGGCAACAATACACTATGCAAAATCCATAGTAAGTTGGATGGAACAGCACAGAGTCAATTTTGTACTTAGACTTATTTTATACTTATGAATCCAAAAAAGTACCACGATGCCAACCAATAGAAAGATTGTCTCCTGTAAAAAATAAACTTAATAAAAACAGAACAAACAAAAAAAAGACACTAAAGATTTTTCTCTGAAGTGGAAAAGAGCAGTCACAATGACTGAAGTCAAAAACTGTCAAAAATATTATGAAGAGCATTCAAAAGAAACTTCAAACAAATGGAGAAAAACTTAAATGTATTTTAAAAAACAAACTTTATATAAAGGTAAAATCTTTCTGATTACATTAAAAATAAAAAAGTTATTACCTTTGAATTTTACAGATTTCTATTGTTACAGTCCTTGTAAAGTCTGAAATGACTTTAATAATTACAAATTTATTTCAGATATGAAAATTGGACAAATAAAAAATAATAAAATTATATAGTTTGCCAATGTTTTTCCTAAACTGTCTAAATAATGTTTGGTATATGCATGTAAAATAAAAATAAAAATACAATTGACATCATGCTAAGACTATATAGCAAGGTGTTGAAAAAATTTTAATGCCACACCCATGGTTTTATGTTGCTTCCTTCCCTCTCCTCTTGTTTATAATGAATGGATCAAAGTATGAGGATATTATTAACGCTTCTGCCACTCTGATAAAACTAATTTTTTATCTTTGTAGAACGATTTCCATTTTGTACCACTGCTGTTTTATTCATCATAAGAGTTTCAATTGAGATTGTGCTCAGTGTTCAGTCTTCATTTCACTAAATTGTCTAATAAGTACTCCCAATCTACCATTTGACATCAACCTGATTTCCCTTTGGAATTGAAATATGATTATCATCCATCAGATATTTTTCATTTTTAACAAGATCATATACTATTAGAGTCTAACTGTGATAATTCACACATCTTTGTCTTTGTGATGTGGTTTTATAATTCTTTCAATCTTGAGTCCTATTACTTGAATAATTGTCTTTGAGGGTAATCTTAAAAACTTTTTAGTCATCAAAGAACAGATAGAAAGAAATTATTTTTCCATTTATTCTTTGCCTGAAGAAAGATGAATTTGTATTTTTAATAACAAGTACTTTTGTAATATAATTTTATTCTTTTACATGTTTTAAACTAATTCAAGTATTTTAACACCAAAACACAGTAGTAAAAATTTCAATTTTCAATTCTAAAGTTTTGTGCACTTTGCCACATTTTTTTGTACTTAAATAATGTTCTGTTTTCTGTTAATTTTATTAAAATTTTGCTTAATTTAAATTCTTTAAAATAAAAAGTTTAGATACTTTTCTGTAAGTAAAAATAAATAAAATAATGGTATCAAATTATTGGAATCAACAGCAACAGTATTTAATAAAAAATATTTTGCACCCTAAAAAGTTGTATTTAATTTTTTCTCTTAACATTTTTGAGCAAATATATAGCTGGTAATTTGATGTTATTAACATTAAAACAGATAAAACTTTAAATATAATTAATATATATATTATTTGATAATAAAATTTAATAAAAAAACAAATATTTAAAGTCATTTAAAAAATTTCTAGCATTACTACATATACTGTAAATTTTATTAAATTTTCAAAATAAATTAATTAAAAAATATATTAAAACAACAGCATTCATGTATAAACTAATATAAACAGAGTAGGAGCTTAGAATTTTTATTTTAAATCATTGTTCAGTTATTACTAAAGATTAGACAGTTAAAAATACAAAATCATTAAATTATGTAAAGAAAATAATTAGTGAAATAGGAAACATGCTTGATTTTCATTCCTTGACTTTCATGTCATTGACATTTACAACTTTTAAATATGACAACTGTAAAAATTTTTTTTAAACAAAATATTTTTCATTTCCTTTTTCTTTGATACAAATAAGTTAGGCGTTTTAGATTATTACCACTAACTAATCTAATGTGGCGCAACTTTTATTTCCTGCATAAAGTCAACCTTATAATAATCAACTGATTAATAATTTTAATTCTTGTTTTTTTCTGAAACAAATAAAATTATATATAGAAAAATTTTTTTAATTTATTTAAATTTTAAAGCAAATACATAAATTCACTTGATTACATGTATGCATCATTTATAATTTTCTGACTTTCTGATATTGCTATTTAATTTGATTTATTTTTAAATTAATATTTTATTATTATTTTCTTCCTCATTATGAATTTAATATATATTATTCAACTAAATAATATAATATTAAAAAATTATGAATTATATGTTGTTTACTCAATATAATAAATTTTTTCCATTTTCTATAAAGCAGTTTATAATGAATATTTGCGAAACTTTCAAAGGTAATTTTAATATTTTTATGTAATAAACTTACCAATTCAATACCATCTATAAAAGGAGTGTCTGGCCAATCTTTCTCAGGAAAACGTTGTAATACTTTTCCACAACTAATTCCACCTCCTATATTTGCAAAATAAATTAATTCTATTTTAATGACAATATAAAAGTAGATTATATTTTAAAATTATATTAAACAAACTTAGTTTATAGTACAAAACAGTCATAAATTTATTATAGAGGAGCATTTTCTAATTTTATTTAAAATTTTTAAGGATATTTTCTGTAAATTAACAAAGTTGAACCTTCAATTTTCAATTAGTTTGAGTTTTTCATTTGATTTTCAAAGAATTGAAGATAAGAAAGTTAACTTTGAAAATGTTTTCCTTAAATAAATTTCTGGATTTTTATTGTTATTAATTGAATTTTATTTTTATTTGATTTATTAATTACAAATTTATTTCAGATATGAAAATTGGACAAATAAAAAATAATAAAATTATATATTTATAACAATGTATAAATATTAGTTTTTAGTTTTATTAAAGATGAATATATCTGAAATATAAATGTGGCTAAATTTAGAGAGAAAGAGATAAAACTAATATGTTTTATTAAGTATTTTACAATTAAAATTTAGTTCTTTAAAATTTTATAATAACAGTTTTTTTTGTAATTTAAAATTTTATTATAATTTGTTTGAATATACAGATTTAAATTGCTACTTAGTTTGAGTATGTACAGTACATGAAATCAAATTGTAAAATTACTGTTTGTTTAAAAAATGAATTTTAAAATGTTTTTAAATGTAATGTAGAACATCGCCTGTAATTCAAGAAAAACATCATATCAAGTATGCATCATTATATTATTTTCACAAATAAAAAATTCTGAGTATTACTTGAAAACACTACTAAGTTATTTCTAGAAATAAATCAGTAATACTCAAATATTTATTTTAGAACATTGTCAATAAATTCAGTTTAATTAAACTTAGATAAAAAGAGAAACAAGAAAATAGCTTTAGCAGATTATTATTTACATTATTTTTCAAATACATAAAGTTCTGTGTTCAAAAAAATTTAATGTTTTTTTAAAAAAAAATAGAATTGAATTATGTTCTAAAAATTTTTGATTGACCACTATTAACAATGTAAAAAATTAATCATATGGAACATAACTGATTTTATACGTTTAAAATGTAAATATGGTTTTATTCATTTACAATGAAATTTTATTTCTGTTGTAAATATATAAAACTGCATACATTAAAACATTATATAATTCAGATGTACTGGCAGATCTACTGATAAAAGTAGAGCTTAGTTTCATTATTGTTTACTAATCAATATGAACATGTTTAAGAAAATTCCTTTTGTCAGCACTAAGCAAATTATTATTAAAGAAATCTAAAAATACCACTAAAAGCCATACAAGTTAACCTTTAGATAAGTGGTACTTATACAAGAATGCTTCATTTTTTCTATAAATTAAGTCATCTATATTTTCAAAGCAATACATGTATAGTATCATTAGTATGACATTAGAAATATATTTTTACAGTTGTCTGCATTTTTTTCAATAGGAAAATATACCATTTCTTCTATTTAAAGTTATTTTAATGTATTAAATCTGTATTCACAAAGTTATCAATCAAGCAGAGTTATATTTCAGAAATTATGATCCATATAAGCAAGGACATGCACACAGGATTTAACCCTCCATTTGGAAAGAATTAAAAAAATTAAATACAAAAAAAACCACAACTCATTTAATTAATTGTTACTGTATTGTGTTACTCTATATATCTATATTGTAAAAATTATTAAACTATGTTATGTATGTATAATATTTTTTTACACCCTACCCTTTTAAAACATGGGCCTGCATATATGTAAACTTTTGTAAAATAAAAAATTGCAAGTTATGAATTATCAAATTATACATGAATTATCATTCAAACAAACAACAAATTATAAAATAAATATATTTTATAAATTACAAAATTCATAATAATAATATTGTGAATTTTAATAATTTAAATTTAAAGTTTGTTCTGATGTTTGAGAATATGAATATATACAATATACAATAATTATAAATATTCTTCCATATCAGTGGTCATAGACTACTGGTGATCTACAGACTAACTTATTCATATTTCCAACATGTAATTCTATGCTGTTTAGCCAAAGAAAAGAACAATTTCACATATCACATATCTCTTAAGTTAGGTTATCAGATACATTGTGTGTCAAATTATTTTGTCTATCATTATCTAAGGCAATATTAACAGGATAAGTGGACAAGAAGCACAGGTAGTCAGCGCTGACATAGTTTAAGTGATTGTCAGACCGAACTTTATAGGATAACTTTAAGAATCAAAGTTATTCTATAAAGTTGTCATAATAATCTAGGTAATATAATATCAAATTCAAAATCTTAAATTTTGAGATTCTAACAGTATAAATAAATGACACGATGAATTATTTCATTCTATTCATTTATANACAACAGTAGTGAATAAAAAATGGCGCTGCGAACTAATGTAACGTCGTATGGTGAGTTTTTGTTCGTATCGTGGAGCAAAAATATGTTCGAATTTCATGTCGTATCCTGAAAATTTCGTATGCTGAGGCGTTCGTATCCTGAGGTACCACTGTATATTAAACCATTAAAACTCGAATTCCTTCAAGCAAAGTTTATCTTGATAATCTATTGACGGAACTTCTCGAGAAAGGAACTCGAGAAAGGAGAAAGGAACAGAGTCCAATAACCGTTCTTAGGTTTTTCGGCTGATCCACGAAACGATGTTTTACGGGAAATTCTCTTATTGTCTTCCAAACTCACTTCAGAAATTGTTTCTAGACTGATGTCGTCGAAATGAAGTCACGTGGATAATGCGATAGTGCCTCGTTGAGGAGAAAAAGTCAGAAAATTCTTCGTTACAAGGCCTAACAGAGTCAGATTTGGTCCAATTTTTCAACTTTGTGAAAAATTTCATTCTTTGAAGAAAAACAAAAAGCATGTTAATCTATATACTGTATATAAAAATGAATGTGTGTGTGTGTCCTTCATGCATTGCCACACCGTTTATCCGATTGCCGTGAAACTTTGAGAAGTTGTTTAATATAGGTTTCTCCCGTGAAGGTTTCTGGCGTAGTACGATTGCCATGAGGCTTTGGGAAGTTTTGCAATACACTCCCGCGAAGGTTTCTGGCATTTATCCTACGATAGATGGCGCGCGTTTACACGAGCATTCGAGCACTGTGTGTTCGATCGATTTCAAATTGTGAAGACCATTTCCCCCCTTCAAAAAATATCTCTATATATACATTCGTGAACTGTTATTTACGATATTTGTAATAATTTTTGTTTAATCACTTTATTTCAACTTGTTTTGCTAATTATGTATTTTGTTATTATGAACTTTGTTAAAACCTTAACTGTACCCCGAACAAAAACCGAAGTTGTAGGAAGAAATTCGCCTATTTTACCGATCTAGGTATCCCCCTTTTCCAAATTTTAATATCGACTCAAAATAATTTAAAAAGACAAATTACAATAAAACGGTTTATTATCCAACAATCAAAAATTTTATAACATGCCAAGGAAGAGAAGAAGGAGCAATTAAATAATTAAAATTATAAAGGATTAATATATATATATATAAATGGGGAATATCGCACTTCTGACAATCGCTGCGAGTGTGTGGGCTAAATTTGGAGAATCCGTGCTTCTCGCATGGACAACTGTATGTGGCCGGCTCACGCGTCGGAAAACCTTCCGATTTATTCGTGTACGCACCAGACGGAAAAACAAAAAATATCGTGTATCCACGAGCACTCCAATAAATAAATAGAATTGAAACGACACTTTGAAATGTTTTCTCGATGAAAATGAATAATAATAATAAGTTTCAATAAAAATGATAAAATGTAAATTGAATTTTATCATAACGAGTTTGCTTGATTTTCCTTTCTGAAATCGCAGCAATGCGCGACGGATAAGCTAGTATGTTTTATATAAATTTTACACTAAATTAATAGAAAATAGAAAAATTATTCGACATTTTTAGAATTATACCAGGAACATAAATATAAAAATATAGCAAATGCAGACGATAATATAAAATAGAAAAATATTTTCCGAAATTTCTGCCGCAACTGAACAAAAGACCAAATAGAGAAATTTCTATCTTTTACGCACTGAAAATCTTTCTGATAGTATCTAGACCAGTGGTTTTCAAAGTGTGCGCCAGGGCGTACTGGTGCGCCTTGTAGTATTCTAGAGAAATATGTGCACAGTCATAAAAATACAGTATAGTTACTATATTATACCATTTCATTACGGAAATACCGCTCTTTTTGTTAACACATCATTATTAGACTATATTTATTATTAACACATGATTATATTATTTTTAAATAAATACACCCAAGTAAAATGGATGGATTTCTCAAAAAGAAGCGTAATATTGAAGAATCCGGTTCTGGAAGTGAGCAACAGTTAAGTGCAAGTAAGAAAGCAAAATCGCGGCCTACTCGCAAATATAATGAAAGTTGTTTACTTAAGCTTTGGTTTCACTTGGACCGGAAGTAAAGATCGGCCTTTACCACTATGTTTAGTATGTGGATGTAAAATAGCAAATAAATCATTGCTTCCTAGTAAATTGAGTTAACATTTTGAAACTACCGGTATACACTCTAATTATAAGATAAATCTGTAAGTTTTTTCAAGAGATTGTCTGAATAGCAAACAAAAGCAGCAAATTCTTTTAAAAGTACAGTATAATGATTGTTTCTGATAAAGCTCAAATCGATTCTTATCAAGTCTCAGAACTGATAGCAAAAAATACGAAAACTCATAGTTTATGCGAATCACTTATTTTGCCTGCATGCAAAAAAAATGGTCATGACAATGCTAGGAAATGAAGCAGCAATGAAAATAAGCAAGATTCCTCTGTCCAACGATACAGTTCACAGGCATATTATAGAAATGCCTTCTGATATCGAGAAAAATTTATGCAGTAATAAGCTTCAGTATTCAAATTTTGCATTGCAAGTTGATGAGTCAACAGACATTACCAACGGCGCAACTCTTAGCATTCCTCCGTTTTATTAGTGAAGATCAAATAGTAAATCTTTTTCAAAGATTTGCTATTCAATAAATTCTTTTGCAAAGAATAAAGTGTGTCTACAAAAGATGACGTTTTTAACGTTTTGAATAACTATCTTGATAAATTGACTTTAACATGGAAGTCGTGTGTAGGCATTTGTAGATGGCGACCCTTCCATGTTAGGCTGTGTTAAGGATCTTACATCTTTTGTAAAAAAACAGAATGAGAATGTTATTGTAACTCACTGCTTTCTTCATAGGGAGGCCTTGATGGCAAAAATATTGGAAGAAAAAGTAAGAGACGTTTCAGGTCAAGTCGTTCATATGGTAAAGTTTATTAAAACAAGACATGTCAAATCGCGTTTATTCGAAAAGCTTTGTATCGATATGGATTCATAACACAGACGGCTGCTTTTACACACTGAGGTGAGGTGGTTGTCAAGGGAAAAAGTATACTACTTACCTGTGTACACAAGCTATGACAAGAACTTCTTGCGTTTTTTGAAGAAATGAAACAGTTACATTTTTGTAACCTGCTTCGATGCGAATTTTGGATTGGCAGGTTACAGTATTTGGCCGATATATTTCAGCAGCTCAATATTTTGAATACTAGCGAAGTTGCGGCCGAAGTTTTCAACGCGAAAACGTGAACGTCAGACGTACAGCGCCGCCTTCTTGTAAGTCTAGAAGTTTGACAATGGCGTTTGGAACGTTGAGCATGATTCGAATGACGTTCCAAATGCCACTTTCAAACTTATAAGCTTACAAGATGGCGGCACTCAACGTTCGACGTTCACGTTTTCGCGTTGAAAACTTCGGCCTCAACCTCTCTATTAACAGAAGAAATGGCAGCTGTATGCACTGATCGTGGATTGATGATTAAACATAGGTAATTGTCTCTTGAAGCCCTTTGGATTTCAGCCCTATAAAAGAAGCCCTATTGTCTCTTGAAGTTTTATAAAAGAAGAATATGTGGCAATATCTAAAAAAGCTTTGAACATTTTACTACAATTTTCAATATCCTATTTATGTGAATTAGGATTTTTTACCCTCAACACAATTAAGAGTAAAAAGAGAGGAATTTTCTTCAATGTATTGACGAGGAAACGAGAGTTTGCCTTTCAAATATATGCCCAAACACTGAAAAAATCGTTAGGACACATCAGGCTCATGTTTCTCATAAACACAGGAATGAAAAAACTTAATACATTCGTGCCGGGATCTGCCGAATTTACTAAATCTTACTAAGAATGTATCTATATAAGAATCTATATATATCTATAAGAATGTATCTTTATATATATATNGAAGAAATCGCTAGGACACATCAGGCTCATGTTTCTCATAAACACATCAAAACATATATAATATAATACAGCATCAATTAAGTTTATGTTTTAACAAATATCTCAATCATTACAGGTTTATAAGATTATCAATAATAAATTTTTACTTCAATTGGTTATTCCTATCAATTTATTAAAATTTGAACTCCTATGAAATTTCAAATATTAAAATTATAGATAGCAAAAAAATGTGTATAGTACGTATATTTATTACTTCTCTTTCATATATTTATTAAATATATAATTACCTCAGAATGATTTTAAAAAATGATCAAATAAGTTAACATGTTTAATTTGTTAACTAATTGTCTGTTAAAAATTATAAATAAATTGACATTTAATAAACTGCATATATTTTAAGATATTCATGTAAATTATTAAAAGAATATATCACATTTCAAAAAAAAAATTATATTTAAAAATTACAAAAAGAATTTGTTTTTTTTTAAATATTACTGTTTTTCTTTTTTATTCTTAAAAACTGTCAAAATAGTATAATTTTGATAAATAACAGATTAGTAAGTTTATCAGTTCAAAATGCAAAATAATTTAGAGATGACATTTAATTATACTATCAAAACTACATGACTGATTATGAATTTAAATCAAACCACTTTTTATTGTAGGAATAAAACAGTATGTCCGTAGCATACATTTATTATTCTGTAAATTGTTTAAAACAGAATAAATTTATTAATAATTAATAGAGATCTATCAGCTATTTTTTTTTTAAACTTTATTGCCTCTGTCTTTTAATAAAACTCGAATTGCAAAATCAAATAACTGAATCAGAAAAAGAATTGAGTAACAGAAACATAAATTGAACAACAAAAACTGAAAGGAACTGAATAACAGATATAAACAATTTAAGTTAAACATCAATGAAAATAGCCGTAAGAGGTCTGAAAAGATCAAAATTAAAAATAGCTCATTTCCGTATCAACATTTTAAAAAATTAATTAAAGTAGGTTGTTAAGAATTTCAACTGAGAAAAAATAAACAGCTGAAAATTTTCATATATTATAAACAATTCATCAACTCTAAACATATAAATAATGAATATATGGATCAGTAATATCAATGTATTATAGAAATTAACATTGCAGTATGCATAAAATTTTACCTACATGTAAATAAATGAAATCTATACATTTTAATTACTATTTTTAATAAAAACTACTATCAAAGTTTTATATACTTGTTAAATTGTGGTTTGATAGAGGTTCAGAATAAAAATCTATGAGAACAGTTAAGGTTTAAAAGTCCCAAAGTAATGAACTTAATGAAAGACTGACACAGAAAGGTTTATCAAGCATAAAAAAAATATGGATTTTCATAATACTCCATTCTAATACGAATTTTTATTAAACTCGTCTAAATAAATAACTTAAAAATGAAAAAAAAGAGAATTTTTACTGTAGATTATTCTATCAGGTCAATAATACAGAATGCAGACCCTCACGAAATGTTAAACCTCCAAGTTCAGGAAGCATTTGACTATTACAGAAATGATTTACAGTTAGCGGGTATTGTAAATATTGTCATGCCGAAAGAGTGGAGTAGTTACATACTTTCTTTTGTATGGTCGAACCCCACGACTACGAAATAGTCGGCCAAACGAGACATCGTTCGTCAGAAAGCCATGGCCTGTTTCCACTCGGAATTCATATCTGAAGTCGATTTGATGCGATGACTCACTCACACTGCACTTGTTGCGCCATCTGGAACATAATTATAACTAGAAGTCTTCCGCTTTCATACAACATTTAGATGATCATTTTTTATTATTATTATTTTATTGTTTTATTTTTAATAAATATAGCGTACTGTTAAAAATGATGTACTTTTATGAATAGTAAATTAAATAATAGTTGTTCTGAAAGAAAACTTTCTGTTTTAAATAATTATTTTTTGTTTATTAAGCGTGGAAACAAGCCCATTTTGGGATTCTTGGATGAACTTAATTGAATTGCTTGACTGGTTAATTGTTATTTTTTATATTAAAGTAAACTAAAAGCTATACAGGTAAACCGCTTAGACCTAATTAATTTTTTTTTGTATTATAAAAATTATTATTGGGATATTTTTAAACCATGGAAAATTAATTATTACAGTATTGATAATCAATATGGAGAATAGATAAATGAACTTTTTTATAATATAAATATTTATTATATTACTTTCGAAGAGTGAAAAAAAAATTTAAACATTTATTTTCAATTATTTTTAAAAATTGTGTGTTAATACGAATACACAGTAATCATAGACATCGTTAATAAGCTCGATAGAGTTGTATGCACGCTTCTGTTGTCTATGGAAACTATAACTATAGAAGCATAGAAATTTGAACATCGTGTTCGTCGAGTATATTTAAGCAAAATTGAGGCGAAAAAAATAGTTGATTATCAACCATAATAAATTATCTTATTTTCAAACATAATTTTGTTAACTTTAATTATTCGTATTTCATTGGAAGCAGGGAAAGGATCGTAACCGACTCTGTTGTTTTCTTTCAGATCACAGAATATAGTTGTAGACAATTAATTGTATAACAATATATTAGATTTTTTAAAACAAAATTTGAGTAGGAAGAAACTCTGTTTGCTTGTTGATACAGTATTTTTAAATTTTATCGTACATTTTGTGTCTAAGGAGATCTTAATTTTTAAGATAGTAGGATTGGTGGGATAATGCAAATAGCACAAAGGCAATCTGCCAATGGGGGACTTTCTTGGGGGGCCAATAGGAAATTGACCTTGGTCTCTATTTAGATGCTAAACACTTGAGGAAAACCTAAAATACTTCGCATGGCCAGTCCGTATTTTGTCAGGCGTGAACCGGCAATCAATTACCAGAGTTCAGTGGTTTTATATCATTCCATTCGACCACTTGGTCGGATCCGAATTAGAACGTGCAAATCTACATTCACTTCTGTTCCAGTATGGATGTAGCTATTAGCACCGTGGATGAAAACAAAACTCTTAAATACGTTATATACATAAGTGGGTTTGTCACATTCCAATCTTTTTCCTGTACTTATTTAAATTTTTTTTTCATTTATTTATTTATAAAAGCATGTGGTTTCACGTTCCTCTCTAGCTACATTATTAACTACTGTATATATATTTTAGATATAAAAATAACTACGATTATTCATTATTGTTTCAGCAATAAAAAATTTAATGATTCCAAATGCAAATGTAGAGCTCCAAATCACAATAAAACCTTGTTCTGTATTTCAGGCTCGCGTTAAAATTTTATTAAATTCTTGGTTTGGTTTTCTTCAAACCATAATCCAAACCATTTGAAAATGTTTGCTTGAATCAATGAAAATTGCACTTTTTTTAACATTCACATTTTAGAAATATGTATTGATAATTAGCTATATCTTTTTCTTTCCATTGAGGTATGAATTTTGTAATTATCTTATCGTTATAATTGCTGTTTCTTGATATTCTTTTTATGGCTTGTGAGCATATCGTTCTTAAATTTATTATGGAGTAATTGATCATTTATTTTTAAAATTTTACAAACTTCTCTTTAAAAATGCATATTTCACTGTTCATTTGATAAAATTTTGAGTGCAATTTTTTATTATCAACCTATGAATCTGTTTTTCTTTATTTATTTAGTTTAAATACGAATCGAATCAATGAAATATGACTTTGCTGAAACGTTTTCCTGTCTGTTTCGAATTTTTTAAAGATTTTTACTTCTTTTTAATATTCTTAAATTTGTTTTTACCTTTCATAATTTGTAATATAATTTAGTACTTGCAACGCTATTTTATTAATTTTGTTCTAGGTATTGTATCAAAGTCAACTGATCAGTTTGGACTGTACAGTATTAAAGATCCATGAAGAGTAGATCATCTAACACCAGCTTATTTTCTACAAACATAAAACACACAACACAATAAATGAATGAGACAAAGTGTTTTTAATTAATAAATTTTCATTTACAGTAATTTTTTAAATGACTAACATTTTTATACCAAAATAGTGCAATGGAATGATAAGGCAGCAAAATACATGGTAGATCTGCCTTGGGGAAGTGCTCCTGTAAAAACTCTCTGTGGAAAATTGACCCCTATTTAAATGTTACAAACGTGAAAAAAACCCGTAAAACTGTATATAGCCAGCTTGTTAATTGGAGTTGGTCGCGAACTCTCGACCAATTCCAATATTCACTGGTTTTGAGCAAATGTAATACAGTATCATAGCTTTGTGCAAATTATGGATCATTTCAAATATCTTGACACAATTATTTAATTAATAACCAAAGTTTGTTTGTTTGTTTGGCTTCATATTGTTGTCTTTCTCAACAGATGGCGGTACTTCATAACGCATTGTAATATTTATTTTTTTATTATGTTACAGTAGAGCCTCGAAAACTCGGCCTAATGTGGACCGAAGGATGGCCGAGTTTGTGAAAATGCCGGGTTATCGGGAATGTGGTAAAAAAGGATAAGTATGCGTGTTTCCTCAGAAAATACTGTACTGTACTTGTATGTATTGTTTGCTTGAGAATACAACAGAATAAACTGCCCAAATACCCTTAAACAAAGGAAAAGTACGTCCTTTACGAAGGCATAGAGCCTTTACTACATGAAAATGAAAATTAATGAATACACTGTGTACAGTAATTTACCTGATAAGACAGACCTCAGAAAAATACTTTATGAG